GCTCAAACTCATATCCATTGAGTCGGTGATGCCATCCAACCATCTCATCCTCTGTTGTCCCCTTCTCCTCCCGCCTTCAGTCTTTCCCAGCATCAGGGCCTTTTCAAATGAGTCAGTTCTTTGCATCAGGTGGCCAAAGTATTGTAGTTTCAGCTTTTCAGTAGTAAATACCCCAATACTGCACAATTGTAGCTGGTTGAATCCGTGTATGTGGAGTTACAGATACAGAGGAAACTGGGATATGGAGGAACCACATATACAGAGGACTGACCCTAAGTTCCATGTGGATTTTCAATTGCACATTGTTCAAGGGTCAAACTGTAGTTGCTACCACTAGTACTCCTGGAGATGCTATAGATGATACTACACAGTATATGTGCTACACTATCTTTCTGGAATAGCAAACATTCTGATTTCTGAAATACATGTGGTATGAGGACTCTAAGGGACTGTGGGCCACTGCAATCATCTTTGGAAAGTCTTGTAACATAGGTTTCAGTAGCATGAATACAGATATCTGACTTTGAAGAAAACTGAGAACACGAAAAACATATGCTAAAAGGTGGCATCTGCATTTTTTAAGTACAGATGAAAACCAGATGACTAATTAGCCTTTCATAAGATAAATGCCCTCCAGCCTGCCTTCACTCCAGTTATTTTCCTTCTAGTCTTACACTGGGCAAGGCGTAAGATTAATTAGGTCCCTCCTGCTGCTTTCGTAGGGACTTTCCCCGGTGAGTTAGCACCTTTTTATTTTTAGTGTCTCCCTTTCTACCAGCTCTGATTATTAACAATTCAATATGTTTAAGCTTTCTCCATGACAAATATTCCTCTAATAACTCAAATTCTCCTTCAGTAGACACCTTATACTCCTCTTTTTGAAACACAGTTTACATCCACTACATCTTTTTCTTTTTTAATCCTTCAGTCTATGACACCTTGGCTTCCCACTCTTACCAATGCATTGAAAATGCTCATCAAATTTACCAAATATGCAATAATTCCATAGTGCATCCAGATAGGTCTTTCTTAATACAAATGTGATCATGTCTGTCCCTTCTTAAAACCCTCCATAGTTTTCCAATGTCTTCATAATAAAATCTCTCTCTCTATATATATATTCAGAGAGGCTTACATTTTACAACTCTCTTCTAAACTCTACAGTCAGTCCATTCACAGATGTTGCCTGAATACTGACAATGTGTTAGGCAAGTTCTGGGCTTGAGGATACAGCAGTGAACCAGCAATAGTTTCAGATGTCAAGAAGCTTATATAAGCTAGTAGCTAGGAGTTGGGATATATATAAACAAGCAAAAAGATTCCAGATTCTAGTAACTATTATAATGGTAGAATGGCAGATGTGGTGTATCAGGATATCTGGGTGACATTACAGCTGAAAGAAGTGGGTGGCAGCAGATGAGATGTTGAGATAGGCATCACCAACTCAATGGACATGAATCTGAGCAAACTCCGGGAGAGAGTGAAGGACAGAGGAACCTGGCGTGCTGCAGCCCACTGGGTCACAAACAGTCAGACACAGCTTCGCGATTGAGCAACAACATAGTTGAGAGAGCCGAATGTCTTAGCCAAACATGGTCAGCACACTCCTACTCAGTTTTCAGCCAAGACTTCCTTTGGCAAGGTTTCCTCTACCCTTGAGTTTGGGCTGGCTGCAATTCCTAGATGCTCCAAGGCACTGTGTGTTAACTCTGTGTCTTCACCACTTCATTTGCCTATGTCACTGCCCATTAACCTGTTTGATCCCACCCCCAACAGGAACTGGCCTTTTTGCCACTGGTTACATAACAACACTGACAGCACTTGGTATGCCTGAATTGCTCAATCTATACTTCCTGAAGGACAGATAAAGTATTATCATTAAATAATTTTCCTGACCTGAAAGTCCAGTTTTGTTTTGTTTTTACGCTCCACTATTTTGAAGAGGGACATATGTCTTTTGAAAAAGCATGTGGCTGACCAAAGAAAAAGTCACCTGAAATATTCCATTATTTTCATTATTCCATTATCATTCATTATTTTCATTTGCTTTATTATTGTTAACATGAATATTAAAGCATAAAACTCAGTACCTAGATTAAACAATGTTTTTCTGGCTTATGCTTTTCCACTATTTTTTTTATTCCCAGGCTCTGTGAAAATACGTAATCTTTTCCTATGTGAATTTTGAAATACGAAGTTATAGACTTCGTAAAATCTAATGATTCCTCAGCTGTGTTAAATATTCAACTTGTGATGATAGTTCATAACTGCACAATTATTTTCTTTTTTAATCACATGGATTTCTGTATGTAGAGTAGATAAGCTCTAAGATCTATTTATCCATTTCAAATTCTAACCTCAAGATTAAATATTAATACAAGCATGAAAAACATGATATTTTCAGGCTTGGACATATGCTAATCAACCGCCAAATAGATTACACCTGCTCAAATCTATTCTTTGTTTCATATGACTCTGCTTATAAACTGATCCAAGGTAATTGAAAAATTCATCTGAGATTATACAACATTTAAAAGTCAAAAAGAAGTGACCCTTATGCACTATCTATATTAAAACTATAAATCTTGCTCTAAGACACCATTGTTCAATCACTAAGTCATGTCCAACTATCTGTGACCCCATGGGCTGCAGCACGTCAGGCTTCCCTGTTCTTCACTGAGTTTGCTCAAACTCATGTCCAATGAGTCAGTGATATCATCCATACATATCATCCTCTATCACACCCTCAATCTTTCCCAGCATCAGGGTCTTTTCCAATGAGTCGGCTCTTCGTATCAGGTGGCCAAAATATTGGAGCTTCAACTTCAGCACCAGTCCTTCCAATGAGTATTCAGGACTGATTTCCTTTAGGATTGACTGGTTTAATCTCCCTGCCATCTAAGGGACTCTCAAGAGTCTTCTCCAACACCACAGTTCAAAAGCATCAATTCTTCAGTGCTCAGTCTTCTTTATGGTCAAACTCTCACATCCATACATGACTACTGGAAAAACCATAGCTTTGACTATATGGACCTTTGTCAGCAAAGTGATCTCTCTAATCTTTAATACACTGTCTAGGTTTGCCATAGCTTTTCTTCCAAGGAGCATGCGTCTTTTAATTTCAAGGCTGCAGTCCTCATCTGCAGCGATTCTGGAGCCCAAAAAAATGAAATCCGACACTGTTTCCACTTTTTCCCTATCCATTGACACCATGAAGGCTTTTAATCATGTAATTCTTACAGTGTAACTATATCCACTGTCTTATAATTCTTCATCCCTTAATGATAGGGACAGAGGAGGAAAATTAAACAGTTTAGAAATCTCACTAGAGAGAGGATTAAAAACAAACAGAATTTTAAGAGGGTTTGTGAAATTGTTATAGGCTAATCACTCAAGAAAAGACAGTAACCTAGCAACAATCTATACCACCTTTAAGGAAGATCAGGTGCATTCAAGTGCAAGGCACACTCAACCTGTGAACAAGTTGTGATAGTTAAAACACAAGACAATAGATATGTTACATGAAGTCAGGAAATTAATGGTCTTTGAAGAGCAGCATTTCTGTATGTAGTCAAGATAGGAATACAGGTGAAAGGGGAAAGAAACTATTTGAAAAAGGATATTATACCAAAATCTGAGATGAATTACTATATTTACTAATACACATATGACTTAAATAGTGCCATGACAGTCTCAGTCCACACTGGGTTCAAAGGCAGAACTGATGATGTAAAACCTTTATATCTACCCCCAAACGAGGAAGAAGGTGGTCTTTTCCCCACTTTTTCTTTGATTAAAAAAAAATGTAGCCCTCTTTGTTCTTGGGGTTGCACTGTCTTGCTGGCCCACTTGTGTATCTCTCACAAGCGTTCTATGCTAATGATCTCACTGTTCTCCTATCACTTTGCCTCTTGCTGAATTCTTTCTGTGACAGAACAAAAGAACCTGAGCTTCAGTGAGTTCACGTGAGAAGGTGAGCAGTTTCAACAGAAAGACGGGGTTTGAGTCCCCTCCTAAGTCAGAGATTGTGGGTTTAAGTCCCATCTGAGAAGGAGGGTGGTTTCACCAGCACTAAAGAAACCCTTCCATTTTGATGGCTTATGTATGAACCTGTCTGGAAACTGAAGCAATGGAAGAGAAATAGACATAATTAATGACAGATGACAGATCATTCCTATCACTGAGGACAATCAGCTTCTAAGATTTTAGTGAACACCATAAAGGAAGCATTGTTTTTCAGTTGCCATTTGTATCCAACTCTTTGCAGTCCCATGGACTGCAGCACACCAGGAAGCATTAAAGGAAGGAAGCATTAAGGTTCCCTAAATCTTAGCAAAGATCAGACTTTTACAAACCAGACATCAATATTTTCTATTTAATGTCAGACTGTCAGAGTAGCATAGCATAATAATTAGACTACAGCCTATAGAGAATATCAAATATAAACTCTGCCTCCCTAGTCAGAATACTGTAGCCAGAACTTCTCACTGTGGCTTTTAGTTCAATTCAGTTGCTCAGTCGTGTCCAACTCTTTGTGACCCCATGAATTGCAGCACGCCAGGCCTCCCTGTCCATCGGTTTTAGCAGGATGAAATCAGCTAAAATATATTCTCCCTTATTTTATATTAAGGCTATTTCTATTAAGATAATATATTCTCCCTTATTTTCTGTTAAGGCAACATTACCACTATTAGACTTAGTCTATTTGATTTTTGTCTCATTAGTTCTGTTACTCTATTTCTAGGTTACTTTACTGGACTTTGATGATAGGTGTTTCAAATCTTATATGCTTGCCCAAAATAAGAGTTAATTTCTCAGCTTGGGTACAGAAATTTTAAAGAGTCAATTTACAGAAGAGCAAATCTATGGATAAATCTGATAAAAAACAGAATTGAATGGAATCAGATAAAGCAATGGTGAAAAAATTATCTGAATGACGATAAATAAGAAAAAGAGAAACTAAAAAGATATACTAAATAACACCATATAATATCACTTACCCTTAGTTCTTCTTTTGTATTGAAACTATCAAGAAGCTGCTGATAATGTCTATCTGTCATTTGCCGTAATAGGGACAGGAGACAAGCAACAAACTCCCCCTAATGAAAAAAAGAGCAAGCACATTGTTTTAGCAAGTACATAAAGCAACATCAGCAACTTACTTTCAACTCTCAAAGTCTCTCAAATAGAACACTTGAAGAAAAAACCCACTATGATCCAAATTTACAATATGATATTGTCTTAATCTAAATTAACCATGACATTACAGTCAAAATTTCTCCCTGTGATCATGGTAGACAGGCACTTTAAAATTTAAAATTTAGAGTTGTTTTTTTTTTTTTTAAACTTAGGTGGAAGCTTTTCAGTAGGGCAGTAACTACATACACTTAAAGAAGGTGAGGCAATGAGGCTCCGACTATTTATTAAGCATTTACTGTGCCTTGGTTCATTGCATCATTTGAGCTTCATATCAGTGCTATAAGGTAGGGAATGTAATACTAATTTCTTTCTTTCTTTTTTTTAATTGAAGTATAGTTGATTACAATGTTGTGTTAATTTCTGATGTATAGCATAGGGAATACTAATTGAAAGAAAGTAAAATAAAGGTTTGGTGGGCTAAAAAAGAAAGTGGCAGAATTGGAGATATTTCCGCTTTTTATACTCCAAAGCTCTTCCTGTAACTTCCTGCTCAATATTTGAATTCCTATGTTCTTCTCCAGCTCATTAAAGGGCCTATCAGCTAACTTGCTGGATGTAAAGAAAGCCATACACTGCATAATGTTGGTTTCAATCTCCTTTTAAGACCAGTTAATTTTTAAAAATTTTATTGAAATATAGTTGATTTACAATGTTGTATTAACTTCTGTGGTACAGCTAAGTGATTGTTATATAGAACGTATAAACATCCTTTTTCATATTCTTTTCCATTATGGCTTATCACAGGATATTGAAGACAGTCCATTGTGCTATACAGGAGGATCTTGTTTATCCATCCTGTATATACTAGTTTGCATCTGCTAACCCCCAATTCCCAATCCATCCCTCCCCTTTCACCCCCAGTTCCCCCAGCAACCACAAGTCTAAGAATAGTTAAAGTTAATTGTGATTCTTTTGTGCTTGGGTGCTATGCAACTGACTCCCATAAAATCCAAATCTTAAAAATTAATAATGAAAAGAAAAAAATACATATAGCATCCGTAGATTTGAGGACTTATAAAATTATCAGGCTTCCCTGGTGATTCAGAGGAAAAGAACCCGCCCACCAAAGTAGGAGTCACAGGAGATGTGGGTGGGTTAGATCCCTTGGTTGGGAAGATCCTCTGGAGAAGGAAATGGCAACACACTCCAGTGCTCTTGCCTTGAAAATCCAATGGACAGAGGAGACTGGAGGGCTTCAGTCCATGGGGTAACAAAGAGTCAGACACAACTGAGTGACTGAGAACACATACACACACACAAAATCATTATTGCTGCACTTCCTGATGCATTTCTAACTTAAAATATTTGTTTTCAATGAAACTTTTGCTCAGCAAAGAATTTACCTAGTTTTAAGTACATTTAAAACAGTATAAGCACAACAAAAGAGGTAACCAGTGATAAGTGACTGTGGACTTAGAGAAATGCAGTTTAACTGGGAATTGAATTCTTTGAGTTTACATGGGAAAATCTTATGGACTCATATGTACAACTTGAGACTAAAAGCTTTGAGAAATGGAATTTATCCATAGCAGTAGCTAAGTCATCCATGGGAGGCCCAAGGATGCTACTTTATGGCCATGTAAGTGGCAAAGAATCCACCTGCCAATGCAGGTGATGCAAAAGATGCAGATTCAATCCCTGGGTCAGGAAGATCCCCTGGAGGAGGATATGGCAACTGACTCCAGTATTCTTAACTGGAAAATCCCATGGACAAAAAGACTAGTGGACTATAGACCACTGGGTTCCAAGAGTCTGACATGACTGACTGAATGAATGTGCACGCGCGTGCACACACACACACTCAAGAACCAGAGATGCAAGTTGACTCCTTGCATGTGTATAATAATTTGCAAAACATAGATATGACAAATTAATATTCCTACACACTTTTTAGGGCAAATATTTAAGAGCTCACCAGTTTGGGCTAGCAGAAATACCCTCTAAGCTCAATATATTACTTTGTTAATGTCTGCGCTTTTTAGCTGCTCTTATGTCTCAACCTGAAAACACAAATCTAGTTAGTAGTAATGCATTCAATTTTTCATCTTCAGTTTTTCTGAATCTTAACCAAACTATCTCCAATGTATCTATGAGATTAACATTCTTAGACTATTTCAACATACATTCTGTCTATGAATAGTGATATATCTTAAATGACATTATTTTTAATGATTTTAGTAAATCATAAAAATTACTCAAAAATGAAAAGATATTCATTTCATTAAATCTTTATAGTCACTGAACTAAGAGAATCTCTCTCTGAATCCATATTATTGACTATTTATCTCTGTCACGTCCAGTTTAGGCCCAATGTAAACAACTTGTCATGCTGATATCTCATCCTGGCACATTTAAGACATGTTGTCAATTCCAATATCTACCTTACGATGTCATTTTATTTATTCACTTCATCAGTTTAGGAACATTTAACCCTGTTAAGAGGCCAAGATGTCCAATATTTCACTGACATATTTTTCACCTGCAATTTTGTTTTTAAGAGAGTTTAAGTGTCTGCATGAAAGCCGTAGACTCATAATTTGTTAAAAATAAAAACTAAATTATTGTCAGCCAAGGTTCAATTCATTTTAATGTTGGAATTTAAGTACAAATCACCTTTAGCAAGAACTCCACGCCACAGTGGTTTCATCCATATTACAACTAGATTGAGTATAATGGCCATTTCCACCAATAACTGGGAATAAGATTAGTAGATGGCTATAAGGTCTTCAAGAAACCTTTCATTATATATACCCAAATTTCCCCCAGAATTCCCCCGTACAGAATTCTGCCTTCTTCTTCCCCCAACCACAGCCCGTAGCACACAAAAACCGCAGACAAATGTAGACCTGTGTCTTAGGCATGGTTCCTGCTGAACTAAGTCACCTGTACTCTAAACGGTGCTGAACAGAACTATGTACACAGACGCACTTACCAACTGTAAGCAACTCTGGAGTCCAATAGTTGAGGGTGTGAACAAATGGCCATACATGCCTCTTTATAAAATCTGCTTCCATGTACAATTAGATGTTTGAATGGAACTGATTACAATGGTGCTCTACCCTCCCCCAACTCCCCTCAACTAGTGAGAGTATTTTAAAGCTTAAACAGCAGTTGGTAGAAGAACAAAAAGTACAACCCATTTAGATGGTAAAAATAAGGCTACTGTTATCTGGAATTATGACAAGAGTGGAAGCCAGTCATCCTGTTGGCATTACCAGGAGACAGGGTGACAGATGTGGCACTTACAGAGAGCTGAAACACTTCACCATGACACATGGTGGGACTGGCTTTTACCCACAGCATGTCCACTTATAGTGGGCACTTTTTCTGTAAAGGCAGAAAGGTGCTCAGGGTAGGAATGTCATGGAAAACCTCCCTATTCAGAGAGCCTGTTCTCTAATTCAGAAAGAGGAAGGAATCAGATAGGTCTTCAGTGCCCAGAGAAATAACCTTGCCAATGATCAGGACCCATTTCTCACCTTAGAATTAGTTAAAAAGTAAGTAGCTCTTTAAGGGGCTTTCCTGGTGGCTCAGTAGTAAAAATCTGCCTGCCTATGCAGTACATGCAGGTTCAACCCCTGGGTCAGGGAAATCCTCTGGAGAAGGAAACAGCAACCCATTACAGTATTCTTGCCTGGAAAATTCCATGGACAGAGGACCTGGCAGGCTACAGTCCACTGGGTCGTGAGTTGGACATGACTTAGCAACTAAACAACAATAATAAACAACAACAATAAAGCAGCTCTTATAGGAAACTGCCTTCAGCAGGAAGCCCCTTTTCCCTGTCACTTTAGCAGAGCTATAAGTGACACTATAACTAACTTTTAAACCAGGCACCCTCATGTTCTACTCATCTCTAGCCCAACACACCTTTCAAATCTTTTAATCACACAATACTTTGCCTAACTTGTCTGTTCCTTCTGTAGATCAAAGAAGAAATGAAGAATAAGTAATGAACAAATGACCAGATCTCTTCTCTAACTTTCCCTTCAGTAATCTGAAGAAAACGTGTGACCGAACTGTATGAACGAGATAACATCTAAAGGAAGGTCACGAGGGTAGGACAAGCCTGCACACAGTTGAAGAATGGTGGTGATTCTAACAGCCGATCTCAATGATGAACTGAGGTTACTTCCTTATTTTTTTTTTTTAAGCTTTTGTTGCTGAGCAGAATCTTTGTAGGTGGTTTTGGGGGATGCTGAGTTCACCATCTCCCCAGATGGCTGGTATTTTGATTAAAGGCATCTTTCTTTTCTACCATTTGTGAGTGTGTAATTGATCTTGTAAGTGGGAAGCAGCCGAACTCGATTCGTTCAATAACAACATAGATATTACTTCTACAATAATAATAATATTACAGACTGGTGTTGCTACCACAATTACTAATGGCTAAAATGTACTCATATTGCTTAAACACTTTTATAGATTTGATAAAACCCTTAAACTCATGTTCAGATAAGTACAATTACTTTCTCTATTTTAAAGACAATTAAACAGAAGCTTGCCCAAGAGCATGCACAGCTAATCAAAGGGCAGAGTAGGATTTAGACCGGGTCTGCTTGAGGATTCGAAAAAAAACAATACTATCTTGCAGCATAAAATCTATAAAATCTAAGATACCAAACTATTTAAGTGGACATTTCTTGTAAACTTCATCCCACATACCCAGAGTTTGGTTTGGCACACGGCCAAGGGCCACAAAACAGCTATACGAGGGAAAGGTTTCACTTTATGTGATTTTCCTAAAATTGTAGCAGACCAGACAAACGCCCTGTCTGCCCAAACCCACCCATGAGCATCATTCACTGCCTTCTTAAGTCTCTTAATTTGCACTGATTATTATACTGTGAGGACTTCCCAGGTAACTCACTGGTAAAGAATTCACCTGCCAAGAAGGAGA